AAGAAGAAGAAGAAGAAGAAGAAGAAGAAGAAGAAGAAGAAGAAGAAGAAGAAGAAGAAGAAGAAGAAGAAGAAGAAGAAGAAGAAGAAAAAGAAGAAGAAGAAAGAAGAAGAAGAAGAAGAAGAAGAAGTAGAATTTGTTATTTTCTTTTTCTTCAGTTTATCCTGTTTAACACTTGTCGTCCCCCTGTGGGTTCCGGGGCCCTATTGTAGGAAAAACAAGCACAGACCCACTGCCGGCTCAACAAGCACAGACCCACTGCCGGCTCAACAAGCACAGACCCACTGCCGGCTCAACAAGCACAGACCCACTGCCTGCTCAACAAGCACAGACCCACTGCCTGCTCAACAAGCACAGACCCACTGCCGGCTCAACAAGCACAGACCCACTGCTGGCTCAACAAGCACAGACCCACTGCCGGCCCAACAAGCACAGACCCACTGCCGGCCCAACAAGCACAGACCCACTGCTGGCTCAACAAGCACAGACCCACTGCTGGGTCAACAAGCACAGACCCACTGCTGGCTCAACAAGCACAGACCCACTGCCGGCTCAACAAGCACAGACCCACTGCCGGCTCAACAAGCACAGACCCACTGCCGGCCTAGAAGTTTATCGTGAGAGTCGTCTAATTTAGAGCATCCTTCGAAAACAGAGTGCATCTGCCTGAGAGGCAAGGAAGCAACAGTCTGCATGCAAATATGTCAGACCTGTGAAACGGATGTGCACACAACTCAGTTTCTGGAACAGGACTAGAGTCCAAAAGTGGACGAACAACCAAAATCCTTCCGCAGGAGTTACAGCCGGTGAACGCGAAGAAGAAGTAGGACACTGGTCGCTGTGTTTATCTACATCCTTCAGCCCCGCGACTGTCAGTCAACTCCATTGCAAATGTTTCTGCATGCTCCAGCTCTAAAAGCCACACATAACATTTTTCTATAAGCCCTCCCTTGTCTTATTCCCTCTCAAATGTCCTAATGTCACGTGATTTTCCTGTTTACCCACTCGGCATGACTGATCTAGCTGGATAACGTGGATTGTCTGTTCTAAATAGAAGTAATCAGTTCTCTTCCTGGTTTATTTCTCTTTTAGACAACTTGATTACCGGTTTGATCTGTTCACGGTGTTGTGGGCCACCTTCTGATGCATACATAGCTTCTCAAAGCCGAAATCACGACCCTACAGAGCAGATGTTCCCAAACTGATTGACTCACCACCCGTTTTTTCCAGTAATTTAAATTAAAAAAAAAAAAAAAAAAAACCAATTAGCGATCCAACTCCTTGAAAATAGGATCATCATCATGTGCCGTGCCGATCAGCATAAGTAGCAATGACTCGCTCTCATACACGACTATCAAAATTAAGTGTTAGGTCAAAGGGCTTGTACCGCCCTTTGTATGTGGCAACGCTATCAAAAGTATTCATCGCCGTTTATTTTAACCGCCCTTTCCCCATCAATTTTTAGACTGTCCATTTTAACTTAGGCTAATCGTTAAAACAGGAAGTTGTTATCCCAGAATAAATGAGTAACTTATGTTTGAAAAATTTTTTGGTTCAAGCCTTCCTTCCACACATCGCGGAAAGTATGTGAAAGTTGTTATAAAAAACCAAAACCAAAGAATAGCATCTATAGTAATGTTAATGAGAAAGGATTAACCTCACTGATAATAACTTACAATTTATTAGTTAATTTCAAACATTAAGTAATCACCGCTAATATAATTTATTACACAATATTCAAACAAGAATGAAGAGTTAATGAAAACGTTCTTTTACTTTTTTTTTTTTGGTCTACTTCTTTTTCTCTGCCACTGCCTCTTTCTTTTAAAATTCAATTGCTCCCAACTTCACTTGAGGCTTTACCTAACCCCTCCCCCCACACACCCAAATCTTTGGGCTTTTCCAACGCCCCCACCCCCCCCACCCCCACCCACCCCCACCCCTATATATTTCTAACAAAGGTCGTTGACTACATTAAAACATCATCTACTTACTAATCCACCCCAAGAAACCCATTTCGGCACCCCAACAAAAAATTGACTTGTGCATGAAAGGAATATTTATGGACGGAGATTTTCAACGACTGGCCCAGATTTAGCAGAGAAAACGTAACATGGCATTGCGCAACATTCTGAAAGGGTCTGATAATATTAAAATTACACGGAATTAATATCTTCATTATAATATTGTTATAATCTTCACCTCTTTCATATTGCTTCACTTCCTCGTCTATCACCTCTTTGCCGTCTTCTCCGCCACCTCCTCTTTTCCTTTGACTTCTCCATCTTTTTCTCCTCCTCACCTTCTTCTTCTTCTTCTTCTTCTTCTTCTTCTTCTTCTTCTTCTTCTTCTTCTTCTTCTTCTTCTTCTTCTAAACCATATTCCACCCCACCCCATAACTTCTCTATGGCGGCGCCTGCACATCAAATAAACCAACCCCAATAGCAATTCGTGATGCTGATTACCGAACACAGCTATGTGTCTCATAAATAAAACAGAAAACACGTATTCTTAACTTTTGTAAACACCATAACCAATAACGGTATATTGTGTCGCTGATAGAGAAAGAGAGATCTTTCAGATATAGAAGGTATAAGCAATCATTGCATCGCAAGATGACGGGGTTATCTGTAGGCTAATTAAAACCGGCGCAGGTAATGGAAAGGAGAAGATATCTCATAGACAGTCAGGAAAGCAGGCACTGGCTGATGGACAACATGAAGCTTGTAGATAGGTAAACAGAAAAATAGCCGTTATTCTGCCGTGGCCTGCACATATAAGCTGGTCTCTGGTGGGTGTGGCGGTTTGAATCAATGTCACCAATTGTTTGCAGCCTGAATTAAATTACAGACGAGTAGCTGATTCATTACACTGTTTTATGTTATGTTATCATAATCGATGTCTTGGTACGCTGGACATTCCTATGCGTGCTCAGTCCTCTGATGCAGCAGCTACTCCAAGGTACCTCAATGATTGTTCCTATGAAGGGAAGGTGATAGTATCTCCTGTCTTTACCTCGAAGACGGCATAGACGTGCGTCACCAAGCCTTAATCTTTGGTCTCGCAGTCGTGTTAGCGTCAGAGATTCGCAATTATCCTATAACCTAGTCTGTACAGCGTTGATAAGATCAGTTCTGTCCATGCTTCTGTCTGTTTGAATTGGTGTACTACTTGCCAGCTGGTCAGCTCTTTCATTACCATTTACTCCTGCATACCGAGGTGTGTGGATCCAGATGATGGAGGTTAACTGCGACTTTCGAATGCTTTCTACCCATTCGGAACGTAGACTACCTGAAGCGATTTTCTGAAGCATGTTTATAAGGCCTGAAACGTTCACCGCATGTGTGGTCGCTTGTTCTGCTACCCATGCGAGTGCTCTGGAAGCAGCTGTTATCTCCATGATCATGATTGACGTAGTCGTCTGGTAAATGCCGCTTTTCTCTTTGATTATTTTCCCCATCCTTTGTGCTGTGAATGCCCATGCTGATCTTGATCCACGCTTCACGGAAAGATTTATGTAAATGATGACGTCTTCTGGGCGTAAATGCTGATCACTCAGTGTGCCCTAATCTCGGCATCTACTATGGCAGGTAGCTGACTCCTGCAGTACCTCCTAAGTGTTATGACAACCTTAGACAAGTCATGCGTGTCTACTGATGTATCGTCCATTCTTTGCCGTGACTGATCTCGTCTAGGTCACATACTTGGTGGATTATATTTTTTGTATCTGCCACCCAGGAGGTGCCTCTATTAAGACGCATCCATTTTATAACATTTGATAGTGTTGTGCTGATGTCTGCTGATATCCTCATGTACGCTCTCACCGGTGCCACTTTATGTCGTGTAGCCATCGTCGGTAAGCGCAGGACCTACCGCATAGCGTGGCACGAGGTGTCCTTTGTGCAGCCGTACCCGGCCCAGTCTTTTTAGCTAAGTTCTGCTGACAGTGACGAGTCCCAGACCATAGGCTATAACACTTAGTACACGTCCCTGACAGAGCAGGAAAAGTCGGTGTTGTTCAATATCGGTAAATGCCATCGCCTTCAGCGCCAGCATTAGGCTGGTATCAGTAACCCAAGTTAAAGCACTTCTCTTATTTATGTAACCCTAGTTCAAAGATCATCCCTATTTAACCACAACATTTTCCAGCATGCACCGTCATCATCAGTATCATCGCCATTTTATTACTGGGGTTAAACTAATTCCCCAATTCCGCTTTATCTGTGCAGTCATTTTGATTTTGTGGACGAAATTAAGTCCAAAGCCTTTATCCTTATCCCACATACAGCTGCTATTACACACAATGCATAACTGGGCGATGAACTGTGGAAGCCATGTAGTGCCACGTTTCCTAGAAAATAAAACGGGGTCTTACATTAATTTTTACTTAGAAATGCGTTATAACTTTCGTGGGGTGATGGGGGAGTGGAAAAGAAAAAAAAAGAAGGGGGAGGTGGTGGTGGTGTTCCCTCCTTTTCAGATGCAAAAACATTTATTAATGCACGCAATTCTATACTTACTTAAATAGAGTGATGTCATCTTCTTCCGGAACATCGTCATAACTCTCCAAATCCCAAAATCTAACAACTTGCGTTTATTGAGACTTTATTTCCTGTAGAACCAGTGTCCCCAGTCCCTCATGTCCAACAATAAAGTGTCCTTAAAAGACCACTTTTTATAAATTTAGCAGGCCCGAAATTAATCAATCAAGATCCCTTCCTTATTTCACAAGAGTGACATACCTTAAGTTATAAACCATGTCCACGGCCATTCGGCAACAAGTCTCTTTCTAGCTGATGATCTCAACTTCAGCTTTTTGTATCTGTAGGGCTTAGCTTAGAAGTATAATGAGCATTTGAGCTAGGGTTTATTTTTTTTTTTTGGGGGGGGGGGGGGGGATAGGTCTCTTTTCGTGGAAACACGGTATATCAACTGATGTTTGAATATTGCCAAAACATCCCTTTCTGTTTATTAATTGTTATTGTCCCCTTGCTCCACAGGGTTCTGTGATCACATTTACAAGGACGGAGACTATCTGCTGCTGATTCACATCCCAGAGACGTATGACTTCACCATGGCAAGTGAGTGCATTAAATAGTCCGTTTAAAAAGTCCTGACCCTATTAACAAATATCTCGACAAGATTCGCACGGATCAACACGAATGTTTGTTGCACGTGGTCTTAGATGTCCCATGTCCTTGTGATTTTATAATTTAAAATTACACACCTGCTGCTGTTTTCCAAAATGGGCGAATTACTTTGATCGAATAATTTGTGTATCCATACAGAGTAGAATATACTGTAATTTACACAAATCTTTTACATTAAACCACAATCAAGGAATCATCAAATCATTTCACGTGAGAAGGGATGAGTGGCGATTATTTTGATAGCCTTTCCTGCATAAAATAAAATAATGTTTTAATCTATTTCATCCAAGGCTAAAACATGTGCATCTTGGTGTTTGAAACAGTTCGTATGACTGTTCTGTAAACATGCTAATTAATGCTTTTATTTTAAGCCCTTTGTTTCATTTACCGCAAATAAGGTAAAACAAAAATTACATCTTTGTTTACATTACATTTTTTTCTCTCCGAAAATGACATGATGATTAACAGATTGCATATAGAGTTTCAATAATTTGCACGGAATTGTTACTGAATTACGGAATTTTAAATTCTGGCACAATTTTTGAAAAGGACTGTAGTTGTCAATGGAGATTGCACTGTCTGATCTCCATGCCCCCCAGCCCCTTTGCTCTTCTCACGGTTATCTTCTTCTTCATCTTCTTCTTCACTTCCTCTTTTACCGCTGTGGGTGTCGAGGGAGATATAAGGTTCTGTTTCTGGCTCTTCTGGCCGCCTCGACCATAGGCACATCGTGCTGTTGTAGAGCTTCTCTGATGTTATCCTTCCATATTGTTCTTGGTCTACCTCTTGCTCTACGATCTTCTTCTCTTTCCATGTATGCTTTGTATGGTATGGTGTCACAAGGCATTCTCTCTAAGTGGGCAAACCATTTCACTTGCTGTCTTTGTATGTAATTTAGAATTGGTCCTGTGCCGACTTTTTCTCTTATGATCTCATTCCTGATCTTATCTCTTATGGTCACTCCTACAGCCCTTCTCAGACATCTCATTTCCATGGTTACTAATTTTCTTTTATGGTTTGTTGTGAGTGACCATGTCTGGCACTGGTAGCACAGAGTTGAAATAAATATGCTTTGAATAAGATGTCTCTTTGTGCTGATTGGGATTGTCTTATGCTGTAAGAGGGGGACTAGCTGTCCCAATACTTGGTTTGCTTTACTGCATCGAATGTTAATTTCTTTATCCAATTTACCATCTTCGGTAAATGTAGTTCCCAGATATTTAAACTCAGATGCCTGTTTTTAATGCCTTTGTTCTCTATTGCTATGTTTAGATCTGTCTTCTTTTTGCCTATTGACATTACTTCTGTCTTTTCAGTGATGATTCTCATATTATTTGTTTTACATTCTTCATTCATGGATGTTAGATGTTGCAATTTCATGGCTGTATCTGCTATCAAGGCCTGGTCATCTGCAAAGAGTAATTCGTTGATCTTACTAACATTTTCATTCATGGGCTTGGCATTCTTGCATATACAGTCGATGTAGGTGATAAACAGCAGTGGTGATAAGACACACCCCTGTCTTACTCCAGATGTTACTGTGAATGGATGAGATGTTCCCTGATTTATTCTAACTACACTTCTACAATCCCTGTATAAACTTTTGCACACTTCGATGAGGTCTCACCGTTATGCTATTTCATATATTTACATTTCCAATCTGTCTGCCTTTCACCACACAATCAAGTCAGTGACCTCAGTAAAACATGCGGATTAAAAGACATCCATGTTTATCATTTGTGTTGTTAAACCCGGTTATGTTTTTACAACTCTTGGACCTAAGCATCAGTTTGTGTGTCAGTGGCAGTGATCGCTTGTCAGTGTCTGCTAGGAAAGTTTGACAATACGTGCATTTTCTTTCAACCCTGGCCTGAAGTAAATAATGACCACTTGTGAAGCTGTCATTCTGTTTAGTGAGGAACTGGAATCAAATCCTAATTTCATAATTTAATGTTGGGAGTCGCCGTGGTGCAGCGGCTAGCGTATCGGAAGGTCGTGGATTCGGGTCCAGACAAAAAAGAACTTTTTTTTTCCTTTCAAAAATGACCTTGGCTCCCAGATCGACCCAGCCTTGAGTAGGTACAAGGTGCAATCATGGGAAGTAAAGACGACCGGCGTGATGCTGACATCATTCCCCGAGTGCCAATTGGTCTATAAAATATAGGTTTAGCCCTATATGCCCAACACGCCTAAAGGCGTGGAAAAGAGTTCTTTACTTTACTTGTAATTTGATGTTATTCTATTCCGATGTAAAATTATTGTTTGCTTTTCTTTGTCGGCGTCTGTGTTGCAGAACCGGTTCTAGCATTGTTGAGCTTTCGAGCTGTTTGTGATTTTACCCGGCAATTTTATGTTCAGTACTCTGTCAATAGTCGGCTCTGTGGCTAAGTCGATGCGAACGCTTCGTAATGCCGGGATACCGGGTTCGATCCCAGCTGCGGGCCACGCGTCTTGCTTTGGTTCGACCGTCCAGAAAGCAATGGCAAACTACTGGACGTAAATTTGCCTAGAAAAACCACACAACAGCCAGGGGCTGTTAAGGTTGGTTCTGCAACGTCATGTAAAGGATACGCAACTAACCTCAGTCTGTCAATGACAACTGCACGGACGGCTCACGATACCACTGTCGCAAACCAACTCAAAGCGATCTCCTGCCAAATCGCCCGCAGCGAGGATCGAACCCCGCACCTCGGCATTACGAAACGCGTTCAGAACGCCTAAGCCAGAACCCCAAGATAATTCCGACAAACCAGGCTCAACGCCAACTGGCGATAACTTGGCAGCAAAACTCATTCATCATCCTTCTTCTTCTTTGTTCACCGGCTGTTAGCTCCGACACAAAGCCCTGGTTGTTCGTCTATTTGGACTTTGGCTTTATGACAGGGCTTGACTGTTGGGTGTACACCCGCTTTACTAACTAACTTGTTTGCAGCTGGTTGTTCCTTGCCACTCGGGCAAATGTACTTCGAAGGAAGTCCCGAGATAGTTGACTCCTACGACATGCTTGTCGAGAAGGCAGTGTATCTGTTCTTGTTTTCTCCACAATAGGAGCCTTTAACTAACATGTATTTGTGATATATTTGTGGCACATTACTGTTGGCAACCGTCAGCTGTAGTTAGTTTCATAGAAAAAAGATTTCATTGGTTGTATTTCATCATATGTGTATGTTATTTGCAACGGACACAGTTCTATAAAATATGGCATTCAGTAAGCTGTCAGATGTAATTTTTTTTATCATTTTTTTCACGTGGCGTTAAGGTCTTTAAAACCCATATGTGAAACTGGCTTACTCCTAGAGAATAATCTCCTAGAAGAGATATCGGGGTGTTCATTTGATAAGCACTGCCTTAGTTTGTAAGCAAATGTTCGTGAAAAGATATAACAGTGAACTAATTTGTCACATGCAGTGTATTTCTTCATTGTAATAAACGTGACCAGTTTCTACGAAAGTTCAGAGGTAGACGAATACCCAACAGCTGGTTCTGTTTTGAAGGGCAGACGAAGTGCATGGGGGGTTTATAGCAAAGGCGAATGGACGTCGCTTAGAGCAACAAAGCCTGGTGTATGATATCAAAACGTTTAGTTTGAGAATGGAGGTGGAGGCAGTCACTGCTACCTCCCGCTGGTGATTGTAACTGACTCACAGAGCATGTTGAGAAATATGAAGACATGTATGCTCCATGCAGAGTGGAAAGCATCACTTCAGAGGTCCCGAGTATTTAGTATCCTTTGGATATTCTCTCCAGGTTATGCCGGTGTGTAGGGAAATGAACAGACAGATAGACTGGCCTGTTCTGCTTCACTTGGGGGGTGAACTGATATATGACAAGCTAGACGTTGTGAGCGAGTTGACAGTGCGGAAACGCAAAAAGATCATTGCTGTCTGAGGAGAATGGCGCTGCGAGGAATTACCAGGGGATCCGGCCGACTCTCAACCCTCAAGATACGGACATACAATCAGACAGCTACTAGTGCCATTGGAACTGGAATACTTCGTTTGCTGCTGAAGATAGGAATGGGGCGTTGATGGGGGTGTCCAGAGTGCTGTGATGTCGATTCTTAATTCAACATTCAACGAATACACAAAACGTGTTGCTGGACTTTATAGACGGAGAACGCGAAGAAAAAGAAGAATTTGCAAACGTGATTTTTTTTAAGCACATACCCAGTTCATCTATCTTAATCCGATATAAACTATTTAATTACGGTTAGCTTCCTGTATTAACAATTCATTATTGTGATTGTTCCTAAACTTTTAATTTAATTAAAGCTAGTATATTTAATGTGCATAGCTTTTTCGCGTGTTTACTTCCGGAAGTACGGGCTTTTCAAGTCTCTTAGCAAGCTGAAGAAAAATTAT